ATTTGAATCCCACCACTGCCTTATACCTAACGCAAACTGATGAAGTTTTTATTTTTTATAGTATTACAAGTAAATGAATGTAAGAAATCAAATGATAATCCTGTAATCATAATTTACATGAGATTTCTCAGGGGGAAAAAACTCTTGAGAAACAATACCTATTGCTAGAGGAAAATAAATTTATTTTATAGCAAGTCTGATTCATCTAAAACATTGGAATAGATGTGAAAGTATAAAAATCACTCTGTGATTCAGGAATATATGTAGGATTTGTTATTTGTATCAAAGCTCCTTTCTACATTGCTGTTTTTGTTATTAATCTAAAAAAAACATGATATATATTGACTCCTCAAAGTTTAAAGGTCGTACCTTTAAAGACATAAAATCATATCCTAGTGTACAAGTTTGCAGCTCATAATGTAAGTGTGCCCTCTGGAGGATACGAAAGGTAACAATAACAGCATGATCCTAGGTACATCTATTCAGAACAAATCCATCAGTTTCATGGTTTTTAGGCCCAGGTGGTTACATATAGGAGTGCAAGAACTAGCTATGTTTCATAGAACTAATCTGCATAACAATACTTTAAGCTGTCCTATACTTAGGGAAATGGGCAGGTTAGAAATATGGAATATAAATAAAATAAATAAAAATATCATTAGTATTTCAGGAAACTAATAGAACTATTCCAAGACACTTAATTTTATACCTCATACTTTTATCCATTTATACATTACTAAAATTGCTTCTTGCCAATTAAATTTTTACAGATAAGCTTGTGGGGAATTTTTAATAAATAGCATCGATAAGAATTTTCCTTTATATGCTTCCCCCATGAGATACACCAAAATGCTTCTGAAGCTTCTATATGTTTAATATGTAAGGAATGGGTTTATTTTCAACCATAAGGTGCTTTTACCATCTGTCCTGCAAGTACAAGCCAGATGGCACACATCTATATTTCCAGCTGCAGGAAAAAAACTGGCCCTACCCTTGTTCTTGGATGCATTTGGCATGCAGCAGAATTAACTCACTGATTTTCCTAACCAGAAAGCATCTCAGAAAAACATTTTCAGATCATAGATAATTAAAACTGGCAAATATTTGTGTCAGTTCAACCATGATTTGAAGTTTGTAATCTATAAATGCTATAAAGTTAGTTTGATGAGGCTGAAGACATTGGGGATCTGGCCAAGATTTCAGTGAGAAATTGCCTGAGATATTAGTATATCCAGTTTATGATCCATGGGTGAAGATAGGTGGAATGGACATTTAATTTAAAAAAGGTATACCCAAAATTAGCTACAAAATAATATTTCATATACACACAATTCCAGTAGTTCTTTTCATCCATCTCTAGAAGTAACTATATTTAAAACTGGGAAATGACATTCCTATGATTATAAAACAGATTTCTAAATTTGAAGCCCACCCCCAACTGAAGCTAAAAATATTTGCTTGATAACTAAGCACTTGTACAGGTAGTTCTTGACCTACCT